TGCCAAGATAGATGAAAAATTGGCAGATCCCACGCGCAGTGCCTAACAATATTTCTAACAACTTGCCTAACAATATTTCTTCAACAATGCGCCTATTCGCGGATGATTGTGTAACTTATCGCCAAATATCTAATAATAATGACATCATTACCCTCCAAACAGATTTGACTAACGTGCTTAACTGGTGTAAATTATGGCAAATGGAATTAAATGTTTCGAAATGCAAGTCTATGCGCATATCACGTAATACAACCGCATGTCCAAATTATTTCCTTAACAGCACCGTACTCGATCCCGTCCCCTCTTATAAATACCTTGGTGTCCATATTACTAACAACTTATCTTGGAAACATCATATCAACTCTGTCACATGTAAGGCGAACCGGGTTTTAGGATTCATGCGAAGAAACTTTTACATGGCCCCTGTTGATTTAAAAAAGCTTCTTTACATTACGTACGTTCGTCCGCATTTGGAATACGCGTCATCGATATGGGACCCTGGTAATATCGCTTTAGTTAATGAACTTGAGAGCATTCAGAATCGCGCTGTTAGATTTATATTATCAGATTATCGCCGTACCGCTAGCGTAACTAACATGAAATCAATAATTAAAATTCCTTTACTCGCTACACGCCGTAAGATATCCCGTCTCGTACTCTTCCACAAAATTTACAACAACTCCCTTCTGCGTTCACTTTTAATAACCCCACCGTCATACATTTCAACTCTTACTGACCATGCGCAGAAAGTTACTGTTCCTCGCTTCAAGACATCAACATATTTCCACTCATTCCTGCCTAAAACTTGCAAGGATTGGAACTACCTCCCTCAATCAGTTGCATCCACCACCTCGCCTTGCAGTTTTAAAACATCGCCCGATAACATACTTGGTGTTGGAAATGCAAACGTTTGATTTTGTTGTTAGTTTTCTTGTATAATCTACTGGCTGTATAACATAGTTGCAGTTGATAATAGTTGCTTTACAGTGTTTAATAATGTTCTAGTGTATTGTCTCTGTATTCTTTTCTTTAAAATTGTTCGTCAGTGCCCGCTCCCCTCTGCAATGCTGTAAAGCCCTGAGGATACGATAAATAAATAAATAAAAATAAAGTAGGAGTCAATGACATGCGAAGCACGAATGGGGAAGGTTGATATGTCACTTTGAAATCACCACAACGTTACGAGGTGGAGGTAAATTACGCCGTACACGACTTCCGTGTGATGATTATGTTTGGATGTGTCGTTTACCTTCGTCATCTATTCACGTCATGTGATTCCGAATTCAGTATATGCGAAGCTATCGAAACGGCCGTGAGCACGCTATGAACGTGGTATGTTTCATGTTCTTGCATGACAACGCGTGTCATGATTATCATGTTTGCACCAGCATATACCTTTGTCGCCCATTGGCGTCACGTAACACCAAATTTGGTGTATGTGAAGCTAGCGAAACAGCCGCCAGTGCATCATGGAGGGCCGTGTATACTCCAACGTGACGTTGACGCGCACGCTTGCAGGGCACAGCGACGCTACAGCAAAACGCGAGAACTCTATAGTTTCACGTCAGGCGCAACCGGCGCGACCAGAGTCCATCGGCGCGGCCCGACAGCAACCGGTGCTAAATGCGACATGCTGGAATTTCGCGCCGATGCGTTACCCGGACAGCACTGCGTCTCCCTCTTTTCGTGACGGAGGGACGCCGGACGCGCTGAAACGCGCATGCGTCAAAGCAACGCAGCGCGCCGCGCGCCTTCGAGTATATGGAAGGACCGGCGCCTGGCGTGGCCACGTGACGCGACGAAACGAACGCCGGCGCGCACGCGCGTTGTGTCACGTCGAAGTGTGTTGGCGCCTTGACTGTGCCATGTAGTCATGTTGTCACACGACACGCACCTCACGATGATCATGTTTGCACCAGTCACATACCTTCGTCATCCATTCACGTCCCGTAATACTAAATTTGGTATAAGTGAAGCTGGCGAAACTGCCGCCAGCACATCATGAGTGTAACATGTAGTCATGTTGTTACATGACACGTATCTTATCAGTATCATGTTTGCACCAGTCACATACCTTCGTCGTTCATTTGCGTACCGTAATACCAAATTTTGTATATGTGACGGTAGCGAAATGTCCACGAGTGCACCATGAGCATGGCATGTAGTCATGTTGTTACATGACGCGCATGTCATAATTTTCATGTTAGGGTCAGTCGCTTGTGTTCGCCATGCAATCATGCCATGCTATACCAGTTTTGCAACATGCCATGTGAACGAAACCACCGCAAGAGCTGCAGGACCATGAAATGTAAATTATGACATTCATGACATACATATCATGAGTTTGATGTTATGACTAGTTAAATATGTTCTTTATACACTCATGTTATGCCATACCAAGTTTGGTATCGATACCATTATCGAAATGGCCAGGAGAGCTAAAAGTCGTAGGCGGATAGATAGATAGATAGATAGATAGATAGATAGATAGATAGATAGATAGATAGATAGATAGATAGATAGATAGATAGATAGATAGATAGATAGATAGATAGATAGATAGATAGATAGATACGCTTAAAGTCGCCGAAGTTCGCCAAGAAATGTTTCGCATTTAAAATTTCAATGAGAACGTTGTAGACCGGTTTGCAAAACGCCCGATTAGACAGTTTTTAACTTTATATCTGTTAGGTATTAGTGTTTTTCTGCTAATTGCAAATGTCCGCAAAATACGAAAAATACCACAGACGAACCCGCTCGCGCGTCAGTGCATGCGCACGGTGAATCTAGTGCTCCCTAACGTTCCGCGTACGAACGACACGCTTCCCTTGCACCGGTTCATGACGGCGGTAAGCAGTCAAAGCGGTTATCGTTTTTGTGGCCCATAGTAAAACGCGTTCATCGTAAAGCCACTACCATCGTTGCGGCCCTGCCGAGACAGCACAATGGAGCAAATGCTATGGTCGTTGTTACGCGGAATGTTAGGGAGCACTAGAATAATTGCGCGCACTGGCGCAATGCGGGTTTGTCACGTGATATTTTTTGTATTTCGCGGGCATTTGTAATTAGCAGAAAAACACTAATACCTAACAGATATATAGTTCAAAACTGTCCAATCGGACGTTTTGCAAACCGATCTACAACTTTCTCATTGAAATTCTTTTATCTATCTTCGTTTCTCGGAACGTTAGCTAATTAAACATATATAATTAAACAATAATTGAGAACGCAAAAAATAGTCTTACTACCTCCAGGCAACGGTGAGCGACATGCGTTCGGTCTCATCGTAATTACGTGTTCCGGCATATTTTTAAACTCTGGCTCAAGTTACGTGGGATACCCTGTATACAGCGCTACAGAATGGGCACGTCCTTTGCTATCGTTGCTTGGCGAACAGAAGAGAACTGGGTGTGGGTTCCTTATCCAAAGAAATATAGCTGGTAACGTAGAGGAATACTATAGCATTAATGAAAGGGTGGTAGATATCGTAATTGAACTCAGTAGGAGAACAAGCTGGAGGTGGTACAGGCTTATGCGGCTACATCCAGCCATGATGACGCCTTAGTTGAAAGCTTCTATGAATTTGAATCGGCCATGCGGGAAGTAAAAACAGTATATTGTACTGATGGGCGACTTTAATGCCAAGGTAGGGAAGAAGCAGGCTGGATGGAGACCAGGTAGTAGGAGAACTATGGCATTGGTACTAGAAATGCTAGAGGGGAGTTATTAGTGCAGAACGCAATAATTTGCGGATCTCGAATACCTTCTACCGAAAACGAGGGAACCGTAAGTGGACATGGATGAGCCCTACTGGCGAAAGTAAGAACAAGATAGACTTTATACTGAGTGCCCATCCAGGCATCGTGCAGGATGTGGAAGTGCTTGGCAAGGTACGATGCATTGACCATAGATTGATACGGTCTTGAATTCGGCTAGACTTGAAGAAGGAACGACAGAAACATATCATTTATCATATCGTATCATGTCACATCGTACTATATGCCACTTATTAATTTGACCCTTTGTTGATATCTAAAAAAAAAGATGTCAGCTTGGTTGGTTTGGTTTAAAATTTGGTGTTTCATAACGTTTAACAAAGTACGTTCTAGGATAGTTGGTTCATAATTTTTTCAGAAATGGATAGCGCTAAATCTAACAAGACAAAGCCACACAGTAGCGCGTTTAAGACAGATGCTACTCTCAACTAAGCTTCATAATTTAGCATTTCCGATGGAGGCGGTAATGTTGTAGGCCCGTGTGCTCAGATTTGGGCGCACGTTAAAGAACCCAAGGTGGTCGAAATTTCCGGAGCCCTCCAGTACGGCGTCTCTCATAATCATATGGTGGTTTTGGGACGTTAAACCCCACAAATCAAAGCTTCATAATTTATGTCTTTCATACTTCATATTCACAGCCTTCTTTTGGACACTATCGGTACCCACAACCACGTAATATTAGCAGAATGCCAGTACATCTATAACACATATTACTATTCCTATATGTATACATGTAGTTTAATTGATATCCTCTCTAGGTAACCGAGTGGGTAACTAAAGAAAGTATGCGTAGCGTAATCTATATAAGATGACAGCGATATAAAACGTGATGTGATTAAATGAAGGATCGCGCAGAAGTTAAGATTGTGTTTGCTCCCTGCGAGACATGGGCTTGTGGAGTCTGTACTATAAAGGTGTAATTCTCGCCTCTACCACCGTAGCCAAGAACAGAACCTACGAAGGTTTAGAGCCGAATTTATATAACCCTGAGGCAGTGCAAGACCAGAACACACGTGTAAGTCGTATTTGCGGTAGAAAGCTGAATGACGTGCCGGTCGCATCAAGTGACGCTAAAATGCCCTTCCTTCCGCGTACAGTCTGCATGTTATAGGATAGCAGCACGGCTGCGAATGGCCGCGACGGGAACACGCGCCGAGCGACTTGATACGCGCGTCGCTGAGGCAGGATGCGGGCCATCGGACACTGACGCAGTGCCGCGGAAGAATGTATCCCATGCCCGGCGCCATTTCTACGACTGTCATGGCGGCTGCTTTTCTCTGGCCGCTGCTGTTGTTCCTACTCCCCTCGTTGTCTTCGGAGAAACCCCCGTCTGCTAATATCTACACAGGCACCGTTGACATGCCAGGTAAGGTGCGGCGGCGCGTTTGATCGCTTTATTTGACGTAAACATAAACTGACCGCGTACTTATAAATCGAACATCTGTCGTCGAGCATCCCTTCGAATGATCCAGTTTTTTTTTTTTCGAAGCGTTCGGCTATTCGCTTACAATGACTACCATCTTCGACGGTTTCCGCACAAATATTGATCCTAATTCTTTCTTCAACGTAGTTACTATCGGATGGCGGATCTTTCGGTACCATTGAACGGCTCCCAACTTTTCATCGTCCACCAGCATAGCTAGACACGCAATATATCTAACTACAAAAAAGGCGGCCTTAAGATATTTACTCTATATGGTTTGTTTTCACGTAGATCTCGTATTAGCCATGAAAATCGCTTGTCGCCCGAGGAACAAGTCCGTCTTAGAGCGTGTGCTTATTACAAGATCATAACCCACTCAAGATCGGTATGAATCAACTAGTACTATTTATCGCTTCAATGAACCAGTGCGCCCAGGAAACGGCCTTGATCAAGCGAATATCAGTCAAAATACGTTTGAAGTGTTGATATGCTCGTAAACCTCACAGAACTTTCTCTATTTTTTTGTTCGCGAAAGTTCATGTTAAAACATTAGCTCGCAAGAAAGGAACTCACAAGTAAAAAGGAAATGAACAATTATTTTTGAGGGTTGCAATCGGGTTTTTTTTTTGGTTACATGTAGTTTAACATATAAGCATCTTTTACAGAGCATACACTCGTCAATTCATTAGCCCGATGTAGTCTTTGATATCGGTCAAGAAATCCGAAGAGTGATGCTTCGATTCAATGTAAAAGTGGCGCCTCATTTAATCATAGAACGCACTCATCAGAAATTCGTGCAGGTCGTAATTTATAAATGTCGCAATCACTCATCTGTTCCGAACTCCACGACCTAAACGCATGCATGACGCTCTGCATGAATGTTACATTTTTGAGCTATGTAGCTATTCCAGAATATCTTGGGTCGTTTTGTATTGCGATGTTTTGCTATCACTTCGCTGCGTGTGAATTGAAGTAGCTTTTTGATGCGAGGAGGAGCTATAGCCCACGAACATGACTTTAAGAGTGCATACTTAACTGTTTATTCCGGCTAGCGCTGTTGTATACAGCTTGCCTTGTCGTCCTCGGATTTTATGCCTTGATTTCGCGCTTCATAGTTGCATCGTGCAATGTAATGTAGCAGCGCTTTACTTGCTCTCACGGAACAGAACTTCTTTATCAATTTAACAAATAAATTGCGATCATGTTTATTGAAGTTAAGCTGCTTAAGTGTAAAAAAAATGATGAGGTTCCCAACCGCGTAGTACGAACTCTCGCGGGTTAACGAAGTCTAGAATTAAGGGGTACGTAAATCAAGCCGTATAGCTTGTATTTCCTGAGGATTCGGGCCTCACAGCACCAGTAGGTGATCGAATACTCGGGCGCTTCACGAAGGCTTTTCTGAAACTGATTTGTTTGAATGCAACTGAGCCCCGCCGCGGTGGTCTAGTGGCTAAGGGACTCGGCTGCTGACCCGCAGGGCGCGGGTTCGAATCCCGGCTGCGGCGGCTGCATTTCCGATGGAGGCGGAAATGTTGTAGGCCCGTGTGCTCAGATTTGGGTGCAGGTTAAAGAACCCCAGGTGGTCAAAATTTCCGGAGCCCTCCACTACGGCGTCTCTCATAATCATATGGTGGTTTTGGGACGTTAAACCCCACATATAAATCAATTAAATGCAACTGAGGTGTGCCTCGACAGTCATTTTCTTGATTTCTCGACGGAAGCGTACGACAAAAGTTGCTTCATATTGTCACGTGGTCGTGACATGGACGAAGGCAGCAGACTCGATGTTCAGATGAAATGGTTTACTCGGCCGAACTTGTGGCCAGAAAACTCAAGGTCAAATTACAGCAACACACGGGAACTAATAGCGGTGAACAGAGCGTCGGCCGTCTATCAACTACTGACAAGCGGCGAAGCGCGTCGGCATTTATACAGTTGCCATCGAATGTTCTAGCGTTATTGCTAGCGGTGACGTATACGTTCCAGAATAATCTGTAGTGCTCTCGAATTGGGCGTAATCTTAACAAAATACTGCAGTCCCAAAGCTTCTCGAACACTGCAGGCGCGGTTTGCGCTGAGAATCACTGACAGTGAAATGGGGCGATAACTTAGCTTGTGGCAATATTTAACCCATTTTTGCTCGTTCTCATTGTTTTTACTCGTTTATTTGATTAAGCTTTTATTTCAATAATTTATGCATTAACAATGCATTTCTATTCTTGTTTTCCCGTGACAGATGTCATCGAGGGGGACATCTACATGCCACCAATCACATCGGTACGTTTCGCTGGGCTCTGATTACGCGTGTAGCAACACCGACTAAATTTCAAGGCCACAGGGCTGCCGCAGTGACGTCACAGGGTGGGGGCCCAGTTACGCAGCGGAAAGCCAGTGTTTCGTTCACGTTTTAGGAGAACCAACGATGCCACTGTCGCAGCTAATGCGTTAGATTGGGCCGACCGAATAAAAGATGTGGGGAAAAAATCTTACTAAGTATGCTCAGTAAGATTTTTGGGGCTTACATGTCCAGTAAGATAATGGCCTTCCGCCACATTCGCGGCGTAACTGGGCCCCCACCCTCTGACGTCACTGCGGCAGCCCTGCGGCCTTGAAATTTAGTCGGTGTTGCGTGTAGCCGGGCGGAGGTAGGGGGACATAAAGCCCTGCCATAGCCCCCCCCCCCCCCCCAGAAACTTTTCAGTTTTGCATGTACACGCACACATGCGCGAACAGCTATGAATGATTGAACCCCCCCCCCCCTTTCCTCCCCGAAAACATTTCTGGCTCACCACTGGCTCTTACTGTATTGTGACGGCGTTCGGCTATCAAATCGAGAGTAAAGCTCATACATTTACAGCAGACCTTGATTTGAAATTTGGCGTGTACTTGATTAAGAGGACGTGAACAGCGTCCCAAATAAAATCATAATACAGTGATCCTCGAGGCAGTTCATGTCGGAAAATGCCTCCCGTTTTTTCCCCCCGATACATCAAGATATTAAATGATGGCATTGCTTTTTAATTGGCATCTTCACCTTAATTTTTGAAAGTGTTGACTGGTGTCCTCGCTATCTTTTGCTGGTGGACTTACGTGATCGCTTGGTTTCTGCTGGGTGCTCCGCAGGTTTCCGACCTCAGGGCGAGAACAAAAGAGACTCCCTTGTGGCCAGGAGGCGTAGTTCACTACATCATCGACGACGCTTTTGGTGAGTTAGCTTTTCAACACTCTGCAGTTCGATCGGTGCATGCCCGAAATCCCGGTGCCACCCCTTGGTTCTATATTAAGCCCATGGGCAGAGTCCCATTAAGCAGCGGCATTTGGACTGGATGAGGCAGGTACCAATATAAGGGGGTAGTGCGGAAGAGATGTCATTGTAAGGTAATAGAAACAAACACAGCGCGCAGTGCTTTCGCAAATCTCACTGTATTTGGGGAAGGCGCTGTTGCGTTCTCTTCCGTTAGTCAAGTCGGGGAGGGCGAGCTCGTGCCACAATAGCAAACGAAGCAGAAGACGGGGTTCTGGTGCCGGAGGACAATGCGACTTGGCGACCGATGGAATTCGGCTGTTCTTGGCATCGCTGAGAAACCGCGCGAAAAGCAACTTGACTGGTCGTCTTTGCAACTGCGCAGTGCGGGTCCTTCAACACAATCGCAGAGCCAGTCTCGATGAATGACCAAGAAGCTGCTCTGACGCATTGGACATTTCCGCGTTGATTGATATGTGGGGTTTAACATCCCAAAACCACTATATGATCATGAGAGACGCCGTAGTGGAGGGGTCCGGAAATTTCGACCACCTGGGGCTCTTTAACGTGCACCCAAATCTGAGCACACAGGCCTATACAACATTTCCACCTCCATCGGAAACGCAGCCGCCGCAGCCGGGATTCGATCCCACGACCTGCGGGTCAGCAGCCGAGTACCTTAGCCACTATGACCACCGCGGCGGGGTGACATTCCCGCGTGCAGGCTACAACTTACGGCTACAACTTACGTTCGGAAGATGATTGGTTAATTAGTGATGTGAGACTCTCGGACAAAGTGCCTCCCGGGCACTGCGTCTCCTTCCTATCTGACAACGGCACGAGAGAGAGGAGATAAAAAAAAAGCTGGGGCCACGACAGAAGAGCGGTACTCGAGAAAGAAGGTGTCTGAGCTGCTGCACTGATGGACGTTTTCTCAATTTTAGTGAATTAGTTTTTCTAAGTTACTTCCTCGAAGTCATGACTTCGCGCACATCGCCCAATTCTAGGTCCGCGCAGAAGAACCCATACGTCGCCTCAACATCGCGTATGCTCGACAGTTGCGGTGTACGCATTTTCGCACGGAACTTGTTTTTGCAATTTGCGTACAGCAGCTGTGAAGCGACATGATTAATCTGGCAAGTTTCACGAGCTGCTCTGTGCCTCTCGTTACTGACTGATCTCGATGAAGTTTGAGTCGAAAGCATAATTTCGGTCCGCGGACAGACATTATTTAAATCTGCTTCACATTCTCCAAGCTGGCATATAGTTTTAGGAAAGAGCGAATTGACAGTAGGCTCACTCGTATCGATAATAGTGCGTGAGCCAACCATCGATTGACTCTCATAAATATGAATACCTTAGCAGTCATCTTTCACACAGACTCTCATGCATGCCAGATTGATAGGTTTGCATATTCCATGGGATCGCGTGACTAAGTTGTCTTGCCTTATTTCTTTTTCGCCGTCGTGCGCTTCAGTTGTGTGCATAGGCGTTTGTGGTGTCCTGACGTCCCTTTTGTGTACATGTTCGCACGGCCTGTCTTTTGAGAAGGAAAATAACTGCTTGTCCAACCGTGTCACTTTTTCATCAGCGTACCTCGTCTTTTGTTGCTGCCATATTGGCAGCAATAAAACTGCAGAAGATCGTTCCCGTATCTGCCCTTCGGTTTTTTTTTTCTCGTCGAAGAAGGCCGTAGTATCACCACTGCACATAGCTTTAAAGAGATGAAAACAACCTCAATCCTGCAGGGCATTATAATAAACTATTTCGACTCACTCGACTGCAGCCATCTAGCATACGACGCCTGCTTTGTAGGGTACGTAAATTTCATATATGATGAACCACGCTTACCTGCTGATATGCGGGCACCTTTTAAATCAATATAATGCTTATTGAAAACAAATTCGTTTCTTCGTCGTGTTCATTGTTGTAACTTGCCTCGTAGTTCCAAAGCATTCTTATGAGCTGGCTCTGTGTTTATGTACGAAGGCTGATACCTTCACAAACTTGTGGACGGTCTCTTGTGTGCATATCGTCACTCGAGGTCATCACTTGATTTTGGTATACTGTCCCACATTCTTTACGCAGCGAGCATTGCGGATTATGTAATACAGGTTCTTTTAAACATAAGTGCGCGGTCGCTTAAAAATTACTTCTTTCCGAGAGGGTGTGCTTCTGGACTCATTTGAGCGGGATAATGGCGTAGCCAGGAGAGGGGGGAAGGGGTGGTTCAACGCCCCTCCCAGAAAATTTTCAACATTGTACGTCTATATATACACCCACACATACACGCGCACACACGAACATACAAGTACATAAAGTATGGTGGACACTCCTTCACCCCCACCTCCAAAAAAAATATTCCTGGCCACGCTACTAGACCAGGCTCGTCGAGATCTGCTGGCATTTAAGGACCGAACGGATCAGGTCACACGTTTATGAACGTTTCTTTTTGTTGTGTTGGAGTATTTATTTATTTTATTGGGAGTCATCGTCAATTTTTCGTCGTTGCTTCCCTGTGTTTTTTCCTTTTTCTCATCTATACCTTCCTTTCCTATATATCTTCCTCTCTAAAGTTTCCTTGGTATGGTTGAATATGGATAACAAATAATAATAATAATAATAATAATAATAATAATAATAATAATAATATAATAATAATAATAATAATAATAATAATAATAATAATAATATCGCGTATATAGCGATTCATGTCGCAACGTAGTATTTTATTAGTGGTGGTACCTTTATTTACACCTAGCGCTATTTAGGCTCAGTTTTCCCAGGTTTTTCGGAGCAAGGAGAGTGTGCTTTCTATTGTAAACAACCCGCCTTCTTTCTTTTCGCAGACTCGTGGGAGAAAGAAGAAATCCTCAGCGCCATGCAGCAGATCGAGTCGGTCTCGTGCGTCCAGTTCAGGGAACGCGCTGATGAAGAAGGATACATCCACATTTTGAGCAAGCAGGGGCGAGTGTTGCCTTGTTTCGTTCAATTCACTGAATTTCGGTGACTCGAGAGAGGCACGGGTGAGAGATGGATGAAGTGGCCTGCGGACGTGCCAGTGGTGCTCCTGTGACTGAAGCCAACAGACAGCGAAGTCGAGGAAGCTATATGGGGGACGTTATGTCTCACTTTTAACATTAGTGTAGGAGAAATGGAAAATAATTAAAGTGGCCGAAGAAAGAAAACGCCAGGCCTGCGTGGAAGGCGCAGCGCAGTCACAGCGAAAGCTAGAACATAGGCCTTTCAGAGTCTTTTCGAAACAGTCAATGGGTAACGGCTGCAAGTACACTTGCTTGGTGCCCTCTAGGGCATTAATAATAATAAATTTAGGGTAGTAGGCCGGCATTTGCTATGATATCCTTCTTGATTCTCCTGAGAAGTGTGGTGTCCGCGACATACTTGAAAGAAATCTTGTGCTAATCTTTCATGCACTGGCTTACGACGTTGAGGAACTATGGCTAAAATGGGGCATGCGCTACAGTTAATAGGGGAACAAGAACAAGCTTTTGTAATGCGTTGGAGTATTGGACGACCCACTCGTTGCGCTATTCGCATTGCGCGATGACTCGTTGGTCTTTCGCTGTTTTAAAACGCTTTATAAGTCGTATTAACGCAATTGCTTTCCCGACATCAAGCCTGCCTAAGGCAAGTTTGCCAACAAGTCCTCAGCGACGGTGTGATTCGGGGTTAGAATACTGGGCTAGCACCCAGCAGACTCGTGTTAGAGCCCCACTGTGTCATTGGTGCTAGGTTTCTTTCCAATATTTCGCGCGATGTGGTTACGGACGACCGACGGCGGACAACTGTGCGTGACCCGAATTGGGATCTAATCACAGCTTTTGCTGTAAACCAGTGTTTTCTTGGTGGAAACTGAGCCTACAAACTTCGGATGACATCCAATGCTCGGTCAGCGTCCTGCGAATGTTGTAGGTTCTGTCTCTACCAGCGAAAAGGTTGTACTTGTTTCCTTTCCTATCATCCAAAGCTATCGCATCTAAGATGGCTATGCTCTGCACTGTAAAACATAGCACTGTCTATGTGTGCTAAGTGTAATTCACTTTGTCCCGTCTGTGATGCGCTGTACTATTGGATGATATTAATCATCACCTACATGAATCATTTCTATCGTTAGTATTTGTTACTCACACATTATTTGCACTCACTTGAATGTACTCCTTTCTCGGGTTCTATTCGTCATTGAAAGATGCAGCAAAAAGGAATCTGCTTGCCTAAGAAAAAAGAAAGCGTTTCAAAAGCATTCCTGCAAAAGTTCGAGTGCTCATAAGAGCCCTGCATTACGCAGAGACGGGCGTCTTTCCCTCAATTTTCGATTTTACGCTCGCAGGTGCTTCTCCGAAGTCGGTATGTCCGGACTTCGGCAGCTGGTGTCTCTCAACTTCGAAGTCTGCGCCACGTACGGCACGATCGTGCACGAACTGTTGCACGTCCTGGGACTCTGGCACGAGCAGTCGCGGGCCGACCGCGACCGATACGTGCGGGTTGTTTGGAACAATGTTGTGCCAAGTAAGAGGGCGTTTATTTGAGTGCAAGTCGCAAACTGAGCTGACGTGTCGCATAAGGCCTGTTGGCGATGTGGAAAAGGGCTTAACTAATAACTACTCCAGGAACACGTTCGATTCCATCGCCAGCGCAGTTTAAATTTGGGCCTGTTGGTACATGACCTTCGTAGAGAATAGCGCTGGGCAAAAAGGCCTTGTTCGCAGGAAGAACACATACCTGCGCATGGGGCTGATTTCGAGTAAGTTCGAATTCAGCGTCTTGTATTGTGGGGTCGTAATGATGCTGTTTGCTCAGCGCTATATTCTACGAAGGTAACATCTTTTTTGATCAATAATAACGCGAAGTTCCTTTTTTTTTGTCAGCACTTGTGCATTCCTATAGGCTGTTTCCGTGCGATTTCGGCATTGTTGCCACCAGAGACTTTCGAACATTTTTTGACTTTCCAGGGGAAAAAATTCACAAATATTTTCCCCAAAATTAACACGGAGTTGCGTGCATTTGAACGCGGTCAGCTATACAGATAACTGAGCTTTATGACATGTGTCTCAGTGGCGTTCACTATACTGAAGATTCCCACGAATCACCGTTATCTAGCTACCCATGACCTCGGATGTTTCTGTGCGTGAGAGCTCCAAAGCAATAACGTTTAGCCAGGCATGTAGTGGTTTACAATAAAACAAATCACTACTGTTTGTACGGGCGTTATAGATGTGTCTGGCATAGGCAGCATTTAATTTGTTCATGATGGTATTCCATAGACGCCAAACGTTATACTCGCAACTGGAAGCTGTATTGACTGGAATGTTTAAACTACCGAAGCCTGATTTATAAACATTTTCGCTCGGTGGCTTTCTTTGCCATTCCAAACCGCGTATACGATTAGATTTTCAGCTTTGGAATTAGATGGAGTATTTATTTCTTGCTAGATATATTAATGCAAGACTTTTTCGTGTATACGTGCACCAAACTTGAAATCCATATCACTACTATAGTGATGCCTTTCTTCTGTGAATAATAATGCGTTAATTTAACACTTTCGTACAGTCACTGAAGCTTATTTTACAAACCCGCAACAGTAGTCTAGTAGTTATTGTGCTCGACTACTGACCCGAAGGTCACTAAATTGAATATATATGCTGCGACGACCGCATTTTCGGTAGGCGAAAATGTTTGAGGCTAGTGTAGGGTGCATGACAAAAAGCCCCAGGTAGTCGAAATTTCCGGAGCCTCCACTACTGCGTCTGTAGTAGTCATATCGTGGTCATGGGATGTAAAAGCTCCAAAATTATTATTAGGCTTCTTTCGTCGACTTGCCATTGATACACTAGTAGGAAGCTGCAACAGCTATCAGCAAAGACAAGCGTTTAAAGCTGGGTTAGTTGGTAAGGGTTCATCTTCTAGCAAACAGTGCAGCAGACGGGAGTCAAGGAAGGAACTAAAGGAGACAGGCGAATGCAGTCTCACAACAGTTTTATTGAAAACGTAATGGACGCTAAAATGGACTCGTCTGTATCGTTTCGTTCCTTCCTTGCGTCCCGTCTGCTACGCAGTTTGCTGGAAGATCAGTGCAGACGATCGTCGCAATTGAGGGCAGTTGCAGCTTCCTTTTATGATTATGGTTAACTTCACCAAGGGACAATCGCTTGGGGTTTGAATTCAGGAAGAAAGTGCGAAATGGTTTGCCGCGCGGTCTTTACCCACGCCTCGTTTACGCGCAGGGTTCAAGGCCAACTTCATGAAAACCAACAGGGTGCCTTACCTGGAGGAAGACTACGACTACGAGTCCATCATGCACTACTTCTTCAACGCCTTCTCCAAAGACCCCGAGCAGGCCACGCTGGTGCCCAAGAACACTGGCGTCGAGCTGTTCAATTTAGGACTTGCCTTCAAGGAGAATCGCATGACCAAGGTGGACATTCACAAGCTCAACACCATTTACCACTGTCCCACCGACAAGCCCGCGGGTCATGACGATGCACACCATGAATAAACTCGCGCTGTGATATAGTACACCCCTGTCGAGCGAGGTGTCGCGTTGTTCATGGGAAGCACGAGCTATATATCTTATTAGGTTACGGAATGGAAGTGTGTAGACCTTCGGCGATACCGTCTTTCTGAGAGGCTGTTGTCGTTCGGGGGAGTAGCTGATACACTTTTCTAGACTAAAGGGGGGGGGGGGGGAGGACCAACCATCCTGGCTTCGCCACCAATTTTAAGCCAACCCTGTTTTGCTGCGTATAGCTCTATATATCGGCATATGTAGAAGCTGTGGTAATAAACGATAAATAAGCAAAGCGCAGTTGCTTCTTTCTCAGTAAAGTATAGTCTCTCTCGCAAAAACTAAAATGGAGCTGTGTTCATGACGCTTACACGTGCAGCCCCTCGTCGTCTATCTATAGAGGTAACAGTTTTCTAAGGTGTTCTATCACAGGCGCGAAAATGTCTAACTTGGAGGTGGATTATTTGAAAACGTCAAATATTGTGCATAAAGCACTGTTTAGGCACAATAATTGATTGTCACAATGAGTGTGCATCATTGTGATTTATGACATGATTACGTCCAGAACCTCTGATGCACAGATACAAGATCAAGTAATAGTGCGTCCTTATTTTTGGTGCCACTTTCTGTAACAACTTCATTTTTTCACACACACACACACTGCCCTATTATACGCCAATGTTACCTACTGCATATGCGCCACGTTTTTTGAGGCCATTATCATCGTCATACGCATAACTTCTTTTTTTAAAGTTAGGTTTTGATTTATAGGTTATTATCTATTACTAATACAAAAACATTATAGTAGGTACGTTTCAGTGATTGATTGATTGATTGATTGATTGATATGGGGGGTTTAACGTCCCAAAACCACCATATGAGAGACGCCGTAGTGCAGGGCTCCGGAAATTTCGACCACCTGGGGTTCTTTAACGTGCACCCAAATCTGAGCACAGGGGCCTACAACATTTTCGCCTCCATAGGAAATGCAGCCATCGCGTTTATTTCAGTGATCATCAAACATTTGTTCTAAAATTTGTAACGTTCTCATTTTATAAGTTTCTTCACTTTAAAATCAAATGCTATTTTATAAGACCCTTCAATTATTGGCCAATCCCCCGCAGTGGATATGAGCCATAAGTGAAGGTCAACAAGAACAAGAAGAAGAGAACTCCGTGTTTTACTTGCTGTTCAGCTGTTACTAATACAAAAACTTTATAGTAAATACAGATGAGTGATCATCAAAAATTCATTCTAAAATTTGTAACGTTTTCAATTTGTAAGGTCCTTTACTCTAAAATAGAATAACACTTTATAAGACCACTCAATTATTGGCCGATCCTCCACAGTGGGTATGAGCCACAAGTGAAGGGCAAGAAGAACAAGAACAAGAACAGCTGTTAGGACGCCCACATCGTGATGGCAGCTTTTGACGCAAGCAAACTGACGCAATAGGACGAGTCACAGAAAAAGGATAGCCACGTTTTTCTACGTCTCGTCAGTCCTCTGGAGACAAGACTTTAATGGTCGGCAAGCACCCCGCGCTTGCAGTGAGGCCTTACAGTTCCTCAACCACGTCCGTAAGGGAGTTACACAGCACGCAAGTATGATCGCATCCGCTGTACTCGTCTGGCAGAGGAGTCCTCGCCAGGGCAGCCTGACTACTAGAGCAATCCTGATACTGATGTTCATTGCTGCGTGTCAGGTGAGAGCAGTACTCTGAGAAAGTTGTCGCTTTCTACTGCTTAACCATGCCGAAATAGACTATTGTAGATCTAATGAGAACCATTCATGCTTAGCAATAGCCCTAGCTAAAAGGAACTTTACAGAATACAGCGATGCCATTGCAGTGGACAACTTAATAACAACATAATCGAAAATTGAACTAGTTAATACTAATACTACCTCCTGGCGTAGCCCTGGACGGGGCATGGGCATGAATATATATATATATATATATATATATATATATATATATATATATATATATATATATATATATATATATATATATATATATATATATATATATATATATATATATATATATGGGGGGGGGGCAAACTCACGCCGGTTAAACCTCCATACAGACAATTCCTATCTCCCCCCCCTCCCCCCCAAAAAAAAGAACACGAAAATTCTAGCTACGCCTATGAAATTAAGCGGTGGAAATGTCTTTATGCCTTCAACAAATATGCATTGTAAAATACACCAGACATTTTTACACATTGCCATATTGGATCTTTCCAGCTGCGGCCGTTTTCTCATGGTGCCGGCGCGTGCCGTTGTGTTAATCAGAGGTTAATGGACCATCAAACTCTCATCAACCGAAGGATCGGCACCTGAATCTGAACTTTGCGTTCCAATGTCAAGATTCTAAATGCATGACCGAGTTAGTTGAACGCACGGTTCTATAAGGACACAGAAACGACGAATTGCGTTTAATGATATAGGCTTTCATATCTATAGTGGCTGCGCATGCTGGAGAGAGCCTTTTATTAGCTTGCGCAGAGACGGCATTGAATGGCTAAGCAGTTATCTCTCGCATACAAATGACCCGTGTCCGATTGATGGATAGCCCTGCATATCTAAACACAAACGGGTAAGTTCTGTATCCATCTTCGTAGGAAGCGCAGCAACTATAAGCGCTTGTGTTGTGTGTTCTGTGTAATAGTTGCTGCGCTTCCTACGAAGATGGATTCATACCATCTGGCCCGATACAATTGTTTATTAAGTTCTGTATACCTTGTTTTCCCGCCACTGTGCGCCCGTTCACTTGGTGGTAGGCGTTTGTGCTGTTTCGTTCACTTCTGTGTCCGTGTTTGCATGACCACCCTACTTCATGGTGGTCATGTTTCGCGGTGGTAATTTAATCGGCTACATTATAGTGCGACTAATGATGTCTGACTTGTGCATTCGTTGCGCGTATAGGGGGGACATGGAAAACTCGGAGTCGTTCGCGTGGCTGCGAAGGGCGAGACCTTCTCTTTCTGCCTCAAGTATTTCCCTTCGTTCAAGAGGCTACCGGAAGATAAATCGGAAGCGGTGAGTGACCATGTTAAACCGACGTTACTCGTGTCACAGGCGTTCACATGCACTTGTGCGTAAACATTTGGTCGTCAAGACGTGCGTAGAAATTGTTGCCCACATTTATTCACGTCAATATATATTTGTGCTATTAATTTTTGAAATATGGTACATTAGAAAGACGTTTTTACATATTGCGACAGTGTTAGTACTCTGTCCCTCTCATTTGGCTCAGATGTGCTGAAAAAATTGAATAATATAATGTAATGGCAGTTTTTTTTCAAATGTAGCTAAACATCTACATGTGCTGCAAATCGCTCCTACTCGCAGCGACGATGTTTAATCGCAAACAACTTTAGCGAATAAATAGACCAAAGACGCCACTGTGCTCTCCTATTTGAGCAATGATTCTCAAACCATTATTCATGACTTAAATAACCTGTATATAATATTTTCGGTTAAGCAACAGTATATATATATCTTGTGGGCGTTTTGCATAGATAATTTCCACATAGGCATCGGTACATCGAACCATGTGATATCAGTATGGGCAAGTTCAATAGCCTAATACGTGACGCGTATAATAATTAGTCGCAGCAAATTTTGTAAGCTAGATTAGGGGCTGATTAGACAAGTTTTCAAATATTTGTTGCGAGAAAATATATCGTACGGCCCGCTTACACATTTCAGTTGGTTTCGTCTTTGAGGGGCCCCTAAACAACCTCTGGAAACACGAAAGACTAGGGCGTTATTTTTTTTTCACCTATTTTCTCTCGTCTTTGCGGCACAATTTGTGACGCCAGCAGTTTGTTCACATGGCTTCAGTATGAAATAGGCCCTCTATCATTCGATATTCGAGAGAAATCCGTTGCGAATCGTTACGTGCCCAAGCAGTCTCGTGCCCGTCCTTTCTTGTCTCTCGTGACTATCGTGCGCGATCAACCGATTTCCCTTCGTTTCCTGCGACTGCGCAAGCGGAGGTTACAGCTTCTCGTCGAAAAACGCTAAAATCTTCATTGTCTCAACGCTTACTGCTGGCATTGATTGTGTTTTATGAAGGAACAGGTGGCGATGATAGCGGCAGCGCCCCTAGAAAGGGTAGTGAAGGCAAGACAGAAACTACTGTCTCGCTATTGAACTTGGTATATAGTTTATAAGGGACCCTCCCCTCACCTTCCCGTGTTCTATGTGTATACACGTGAGGCAGTGGTTTTCTCCTCGCCTTCGCTACCCCTCCCACTGGCGACATTTCCATCTCGCCACTTATTTCTTCAAAGCACGCGTACAATGTCAGCATTGAACGTTGAGCCTATCAAGATTTCGCACTTGTCGGCTACACGCTGCTACCGCCGCTTGTGCAGTAGTTGCGTTTTGATCTTTTTGTTTTGTTTATGGATCAATCAAGAGTATGTTCTATATGGGAGACAAGCGCTGGATAGGTGGTGTGCTGACAAAGGGCTGCTAGCTGGGATTCGCAACGTGACTCAACTGCTGGCGCCGGCCGCAGTGTGTCGCAGCGAGCGCTCGCACATGCGCCGTTCTGATTTTGGCACGAACAGCTCGAGCAGCCCTGGCACCCGTAATGCTGCAGTGTGTATCACTTGATAACACTATCTTGAGACCACTTGCACGGAAAGACACTGGAAAACGGAGAAGCTCTGCAAAGCGGATTACGTCAGTGGAAGTGGCTGGGATATGCACACTTTGACCAGTCAGAACGACCGTGGAAACTCCAGCGCTGGTTCGACCTTACAGGAATCGCTGTTCTTGCGTCACGAAGTGCGCCAGGAAGACGAGAAACACCGACAGGAAATACTGCGCTTGTTGTTTTTTTGTATTCTTAGAGGCTTTGGGGAGTATTTTAAGCGGTAGCGAAGTTACGAGAACGAAAGTGGTCGTATAGCGGTATACTGCCGTGCCTGTAATAATGCATCCACGCGCATGTTCACAGGAGCCCCGACAGCTGGTGAACATGACCGCTCAGAATGGGTGCCTGCCGCTGCGCAAGATAAACCTGACCGACAAGGTGGCGCTCATTCGTGACTTGGGACAGTGCCCACTCGAACCGTCGCCAAGAACTTCCAGAAGGTCAAGACCTACGGTCTAGTTGTAGGCCTCTCCGGCAGCAAACTCGTAAGTGGAAAAGACAAAAAGAAAGTGTTCAGGTCTTTAATATAGGGAAGTGATGCTTCTTGAGCAACCGAAAAAAAATTGTGGTTTTTCCCGAAAGACGATTCAGAGCACAGTGTAATTTAGAAACAGCGATATTAAACAGCTACGCAAAGTCACCATCGTTTAAGTGAACCGGGCGTTTGATGGAAGAATGCTTCATTGTTTGGCTATAAAGCTTGAATTGCAGTTTATCAGTTGACTTCAGGAGCAACTGCAAAGTTACTTTGTCCCCTCCACTTTGCTTTCGCAGTAGTACAGCATATATTGAGGGGCTGACATATAGGGCTTATAATTAAACGTAAAAATGACGTCGTTGGGTTTCCGAGGCGTTAAGCCATCCAGATGCCTTTTTTTTTTTTTGTAGCGAGAGCTACATTAGCCGTATTCTCACTGCTTTGCTGTGGCCGGTGGCCGCACCATGAGCTAAGCCGTTGCCTAGCAACCACCGCATGGGGTATGCAGCATCGCGCCATCTGTAATGACGTCAGAGGACCCAGCGTTGCATCGTACATTAGAAGGGGCGACTTGGTGAGATTCTCTAGTATACATTGAAAGAAGCCAAGCCTTGTCTTCTGAACGAAACTAAGAGGGTGCAGTGAGCCGAAGAGACGGAGGGAGGATGAGCCGCATACCTCGAGAAGCGAAACCGTATACAAGGAACCTAGGTAAACAATAAGGTTAACCGTACCTATCTTCGCACACCCATGCAAAACCGAGTTAAGCCACAGTCATTTTTTTTAAGCTGCAGAAGTTAAAAATGACCGCCACCATGTAAGCGTATCTTCAGTGCAGCCGGCTTTAAAGCTAATCGAACTAATGATTTGCGACAATAAAGCCTCTTGGCCAACATTCTTGGCTTAGCAAAACATTCACCCGCCGTGGTGGTCTAGTGGTGATGGTACTGGACTGCTGACCAGAAGGTCACGTGTTCTAATCCCGGCCGCGTCGGCCGCATTTCGATTTAGGCGATATACGATAGAGGCCCGCGTACGTAGATTTCGGCACTCGCTAAAGAACACGAGGTAGTCGAAATTTCCGGAGCAGTCCGCCACGGCGTCCTTCCTAATCACTTCATGGTTTCGAGACGTTCAATCCCAATCATTTTTTCTCGGAGCTTACGGCAAGCGTGTTTGTTATTAACCTGGAAAAAGTAACTGACCTATATATTATTAGTGAACTTGGGAGCCCTGAAACCACTCGGTTTTCGATGAAAGAAGGGAGGGAGTGGAAATTTTGAGGGCTTGTTTTTTTTAATAGACTCTTGATAATGAGAACTAAGCGACAATAATGCCTAGAAAAGTATGGGGGACATTATTCGTAGTAAATGTAATGTAAACGTGAAAAAAAAAGTGAACAGAAATATAGTTTGCAGTGGGCCTGACCTGCGTCCTTCGCATAACGCGTCCGATGCTCTGCCAACTGAGCTAGCGTGACTTTATTGGGCATATATGTGCATTTAAACGTGGGAGGGTGAGTCAGCGCCGAGAGTAGCCATGACGGCAAGTGATGAGCACTTTTGGGGGCGAAGCTCCCTATGCCATGGGTCGTGCATCTGTGATGAATGTAGTAGTAGAAGTAGGTAGCCACCTCCACGGCCGGATAGAGGAGCGGCACGCGCGCCCTCTTTTCAATTGAGGAGGAAATCTGCGCACGCTAATCATAAGTAAAAAGATAGTTGTTTCTGATGAACTACCCTACAGAGACGAGCATCGGTGACTTAATCTCCTACAAATTTGCCTTGAATTTGACGCTTACTAAAAAAAAAACTAGTATTAGAAGGATGCACTTTGAGCACTATCTGACCAGAAAGGGTTGCCAGGTTAAACTCGCAGGGCGCAACCTCCTTGGTTTTAGCAAGGTTTGGGCCGCAGTGCCATAGATATAGTGAAGAAATATATAGCCATAAACTGGAGGCAGTGAAAGTTGGGGAGTAGACACGAAGCGCAGGCCGTAAGAAAATGTGTGAATGCCACCTCTCGTTTAGTCCTTGGAATGTCCACTGGACGGCGGTACTTTTATATGCCGAATATATGATGAAAAGAGGCGAGATGGTGTTACTTGGAGGGTTCATTAGATGGACGGGTGAACAGACAGATGCACGGACGAACGCACGGATGGATGGACAGATGGACGGCCGCAAGGATGGACGCAGAGACGGATGCGAAGATGGTTTCACGGATTGACGCCCCGACGAACGGACACATGGACGGATGCTTCGCCCCACTGATCATCATGCACTCGGTGTATGTGCTATAATTTTTTTTCTGCTGATTGAGAGAAAGGGAGAGGGTAAAAGCCTAAGCAAGCTAGGACCAGGTGGGTGCTTACCAACTCTATTACGACTCTGTCTCGTGCCACTTGGTGAAAGTGGTGGTAATTTCTCTCTTTTTTTTTTCAGGACGACGTAGTTTACGAAAGGCAGTCATCCGAGTCGCTCGACATTGTTGTCGGTTTCGTCAACAGAAGGAGCTTATCAAAGTTGATGGTAAGTGTAAACCTTAATAAACTGCTGACGAAATTTAGCCGTGGTCAGTAAAAATTCGGGCCTGACGCATGAAGTTGTGCAAGCTAAAAAAATGTACTAAATATACCCATTAAACAAAAAAATTATGGGTTCAGGATTTTGTTGAAAAAGGGGCGAAGTCGGTTTTAAATAAAAAGCAAAAACTTGACAGTCACTTTCGCAACCTCAACGACCACGATATGTTAAATACTGCTTTGTGTTCTGTTCTGCCTAATTAATTATCATTGATAGTACATAGTCATCATTTAATGCATTGGTTTCTACGGTGTTTATACTTTGCTGTGTTGTATTTATTTGTACAGTGTTATTTTAGTGCAATATTCTCGGTGGTAGCGTTCACTTAATGCGTGTTGTTTTCCTATTGTTATCAAACTGATTATCTTAAACGCGTGCATTTATTTAAGGCGTGTATTTATTTGTGCGGTGTATCAAAATTTTTAAATTTGTTTTTCAAAGTTCCATTTGTCTTTATTTTGAATTTCAAATTGCATTATGTACCCCACGCCATATGTAACACCCCTATAAACAAGGCCTTTAAGGAAACAGACTGAAACTCAAACTCAAAGAAGCAAAAGCGCATGATCCAGACACTCATTGGAATACTCTGAGGCTTCCAGTCAAATGCACTGTCTTCCCTTTCCTCGAGGCTTCCTTAGCCTTCACATGGCATCACACGGACTTTGAAATCGGCGCACCTTTGAACCAGGCGAAGGAGTGATGACGTCACCACATGACGTTATTGATGGCATCACACGATGGCCTCGCGTCTTTACTTTAGGTGACAGGCCGAAGGAGATCACCTGGCACGCAGACCCCGAGCTCCGTGACGCTCTCTTCCTTTACCGAAGCCGGCTGGATGACATGATCGTGCTCTTTATTACTTCATTTTTATTGCGATACAAACGATTTGTGCCGCTTACCTACGGGACGAAGAGGAGGAGAACAGGTAGGCTGCTGTTTTCGCCATTGTGGCTGTTGTTGCGCGGGTCACTCTGGTTGTATAAATATTGTACACCCTCCTTCTTTCTTCTCCCCGTAACATCCTTGGGGGACGTGCGAGGTATATACGAAGGGCACCACGGAACTTAGATCAGGCGTCTTCTGGAGCAATCCATCATGTCGGCAGGCAGCACGTTGATCCCTCCCTTGCTATGCCAACTGAATCCAGCCCCGTCGTTATGACCCATCTGCAAGACCCCTTCTGGGGAACCGATAATGTGCACGTCTAAAAGCGGCTGGCCGACTACGAGCGCGCCAGCAACCACTGGGATCCAAGTTCGATGCTGGCAAACGTTCAGCTACTACCTCCGGGGAACGGCCAGTGTGGTTCGACAAGCCCGAGGAGCAGCTGACCGGCTGGGATGTATCAAAACAAAAAATGGAAGATTTTTCCGGAAAGCCTTTTTCGCGCCTATATGAGACGCCCCGAAAGAACTTTCATGGTGGTGAAGCGCTAAAAAGAACGCATACTTGAAAAATAACAAGGTGCCTTGCCCCGTGTTCCAACACGCCCAACTGCCATTTGTTCCAGAAAGAACTTTCGTGCCCTGCGCAAACCTCGATGGAATCGTACATGGTGCACAGTTCCGTACAACACGTACGACGGAGACATGAATATGTGTCTTGTGCCGGCAAGTTGATGATTAAATGCCCGAAGCTGACAAAGTCAGCCGCATTCCTAAAGGCATCACCGATAACACCTTTCACTTACTAGGTTACAAGGACTGCTCCACCATCGTCTTCATCAGGGAGTGTGGACGCTTCGAAGAAGCGAGGAGCCGTTAAGTCACGCATCAATTTATCCGGCTCCCTATCACCGCCGCGCCACTGAAAGCCGCACCACTCGTGGCCTGTCGGCCAGCGAAGGAAGTGCGCCCTTGGGATTTACCCGAGGCTTCCGACGGCGCAAGCCGGTGAAACGCTTTTGCTCTTGTGGACTTACGCCTCACAACGAAAGAAACGAGGCGGCTGAATGGCAATCACTATATACCGTACATCTTGCATGTAGACCAAAAATCTACATCAGCAGAGAACGCTAGCCCCTGGCTTCACTTGCCACTGCCAACATAATTGCCAAGCGCCGTTTTTATTTCATTCTCTTCAGGTGACACCAGAGGTGTAGCCAAGGAATAGCACACCAGTCCCATGCCCGCCCACCCTCCACTCCCTACCCATTTTTTGCCATGACATACATACCACAAAATGACCATTTTCCTACCCCCCCCCCCTTCAGATCAACAAGGTGTCCCCTCCCTCCATCCTTCTGCGTATACGCCCCCCGGCCACACACACTACCGTTTTGTTCTCCGCCCAAACGAGGGCGCAACAGAGTGTCGGGACAACGAGAAAGCAAAAGTCTGAAGGTGGCTTGCGTTCTACACATGTGTCCTCGCAGCCCACAAACTTCTTGGGTTCCTAAGCTCTTCTGGTCCCAAATTAAAAATTCTCCGGTATTCCGCTAGAAGTGAGATGTTTCTAACGCGTTCATTGCTTCACCTTCGTTGCGAACCCCCCCGCCTTTTTTTTTCTCATGCGTGTATGCCAGCTACCGTAGATCTTCGAACTCGTGGGACATATGTTATTCGCATTAACAAGTTGTGCTTCTTAAATATCAACACTGAGTATCACCTGACTTTAGTCATGCCCTGCCGTGGTGGTCTAGTGGCTAAGGTACTGGGCTACTGACCCACAGGTAGCGGGATCGAATCCCGACTGCGGCGGCTGCATGATGGAGGCGAAATCTGTAGGCCCGTGTGCCTACAGCATTTGGGTGCGCGTTAAAAAAAAGTCCAGGATGTTGAAATTTCCAGAGTCCTCCACTAGGGCGTCTCTCATAATCATATGGTGGTTTTGGGACAATAAGCTCCACTTATCGATCAATTGACTTTAGTCATTCGAGTTAATATATTTTATTGTTGAAATTTAGAATTGCCTTTTCATTTTAACTGTGTAATTTTATAACTCAGAAAGACTGCTCCGTGTATTTAAGACATGTTAGTGTATTGTTACCATGGAATGAGGCATGAGAAATGCGCTGCAATTTCTTACGTCACAGTACCTCATATTGTCAGGCGCAAAAGTAAAAAAAAAAAACAAGGCCGTGTCGGCAAACACTCGGACAAAACGCCGTTTCTTTACATTGAGAGCTCCTCAAAACACTCATTGATTGACAGTTTCGCAAAACCCCTTCTCTTTTACGCGTTGGCATTTGCAGAAGCTGATGACGCCGAAGGAGCCGCTGCCCACTCAACTCTTCACAAAGGAGCCTGAAGTCGACAAAGGGCTTTTCATTGTTTGGTGTATCGCTACTTTCAGCGTTGCCATGGGTGCTTTGTGGGCAGGAATCATCAGTAACCAGCTGTAAGACATCCGTCCCCGAAATTCATGCTCTTTCAGTTTGCGCCTTAACTTGAACTGCTACTCCTGCATTTGGCATAACAGTGTATATACGACTGCAGTAATTGAAAGAGTTGCAGCGAAAACAATGAAATTGAGTTACCATCTTACGTCATTTTTTTCTTTTTGCTTTATTTACTCTTTATAGATAGATAGATAGATAGATAGATAGATAGATAGATAGATAGATAGATAGATAGATAGATAGATAGATAGATAGATAGATAGATAGATAGATAGATAGATAGATAGATAGATAGATAGATAGATAGAGATAGATAGATAGATAGATAGATAGATAGATAGATAGATAGATAGATAGATAGATAGGATAGATAGATAGATAGATAGATAGATAGATAGATAGATAGATAGATAGAGATAGATAGATATCGCATTAGGATTTTTTTTTTACCGCGTTCCTGCAGTTACCGTTACCAAGAGTACAAGGCGAGCCGACCTCCACCTACAGCCGAGGACTTTCAGCTCGAGAGTCAGCGGTCAAGTGTCGAAGAAGTGGTAACGAAGCCCGAGGAAATCGACATGGAGGACGTTGACGTGCACGTGACACCAAAGTCAATTGTCATGTTCGTCGCCTTCATGTGTGGCACGTTGATCGTGCTCTATCTCTTCATCCAGTATCTCGGTGAGTACGTGACCGACATGCGTACTGACATACCTTGAAAGTATACTCGATAAACACTCGTAGCTCCAGTTAGCGCCTGGTATACCGGGCGATAACTGGACCTACGAGTGTTTACTAAGATGTTGGCTTTTAAATCGAAGTGTTAGAGCTATATTGCGCACTTTGCGGATGTCCCTGCTCACAAATAACGTTTTTATAATTTACTTGCAGTGTACTTGATCATTGGCATGTTTGTGCTCGCCTCGACAGTGGCTCTTGTCGGAGTGCTTGAACCCTTGTTCTATATGGTGCCTTGCGGCACGGCAAGGTGGGTGTACTTTTCTGTAATCATTGTTCACTTTCTTTGAATTAGTTAAATGTACCTTTTTTCTCAATCACTCTGTGAGCTCGGTATTGATGGAGTTAGCTGTAGAACACTCATACGGTATTACATTGCTTGATGATAGCATACGACCTAACTTATTCGCATTGACCTTACGTGCACTAATTCAAGTCGGTTAGCGAAGTTCACGTTGATCCATTTTTATTTCCGAAACAGAACCAAAACACAACACACAAAGCTACAAGGGCGTTCGAAGCCCGCAAGCACGATGACTAGGAAAATTTGGGCGCTAGTCATCCTTTCCATGGAGGCTGAACGATTGCAGAACGAGATCTACGTCTGGTTACTTTTGAGATTCCCTATGGCTATCCTCACATTTGGTACAGGTTAGGAGGGAAAAAAAACACCATCTCCCACTAAAGAGAACCACGTAGAGATGCAAAGCAGCGTTGGTGTTCACTTGTCTTTTCATTTGTTGTTTCCGCTTTTTTTTCATTTGTATGTTTCCATGTATGTTTCATTTGTGCGTGGAAATGTGTATATGTTGTGTAGCGCTTATGTTACTCCACCCCACCTCTTACCATTTGTGCGTATTACCGTGTGCTTGCCGTGCTTGCCGCAAAGTGAACACACAGCGCTGCGCCGCTAGGATAGTGCAACGGTGCGAGCATGTGCAACATTATATGAGCGTACAGATGTGGTGGAGAGACAAACACGAGAGGAAATACGAAGCGGAGGCAGTGCCCTGCCACCTCCTCCACCCCACATCCTCGTGCTCACGTGAGAAGAGAGGGATAGTTGGCGGATGCGCAGTGGAGTAGACGGTCGCTGAAGGATGGACACAGCCCCGGGCAAAAGCTGGCAAACGCCTGTTGTGGGTTAGGAAAGGGGGAGATAGAGCAACTCACCGTACAGTGCACTACTCCCTACTTCCCTCCCCTCTCACCAATTCTTCAATGCACCTCGCTGACCCGTACTTAAGTGAGGGAAGGCACCCTTCGCGAGGTCTGTCAGGCGCTCGTTCAGCGGGTTCGGGCTATCGCAGAGTTTGTTCCCAGAATAGGAACCTACAGCCCGTTTTCTTTCCACCTAAATAAAATGTTTTCCTCCTCTTCGTCATCATCATCTTCTTGGTTAATACTTGACCGTCTAAAATATCCAACTTGTAGTTTTCACAAGTCATGGAGCTTAGTGCTAGCCATCATGGTATACGTTTAACCCGCTTGTTGTACGGGCATGGCAGTTATCTGTGCGTGGCAACACGCAACTATACAAATCGTGATATTTTCATTGAAGGCTGCCGAACTATGCGTTTCCCTGCTTTTACGGCTCGCTGGAGGTGCGCCAGGTGTTGCTGATCCTGTTCTCCATCGGCCTGGCCTTTTCGTGGGTCGTAATCCGCCACAACTCCAAGTCTTGGCTGCTACAGGACTTCTTGGGAGTCATCTTCAGCATCTACATGATCAAGACCTTGCGCCTGCCAAACCTTATGGTGATCATTTTATGCCTGGGGGCTAAATAGCATAAGCACTGTTGTGGTACGCATATGCTGCCCATTTCATTAGCACGAATCGCTTTCTTTATAATGTCTTACCTTAGACACTGCCGTGTACTCGATCTTAAACGTTTTGTAATGACTGAATATTGATTAGATACGTGACTGAATGGGATCTCAACAACTGGAGATGGCGGCACGTTCTTCCAACAGCGCAGAACGGGGCCGTGGATGGAAGTTCATGATCATGACTTTACTCATGACTTTTATTAGACAGAGCAGTAGAGGAGAAACAGCTGTCCTCACTGAGTACTACCAAACACTTTCACAGGTAGCGATCAGACCTTGTGCCATAAAATACCACATATCAACGCAGCGATCAGAATATTGCGCAATTCTAAGCATCCGCCATCTTTTGCTGGAGAACCGCAACCAAGTATTTAGCGTCTGCAACCAATGTCGGAACGAACAACTTCAATTTAGCTTCAATGGAATCAACCAAAGCGTGACACTGATTTGGACAAAAAAAAAAGGAAATCGAAAAATTGAGGTTTGCGTTGTCGCAAACTTGCGGAAAAGCTGAAACCAGGAATTATTAGACTCTTATTAGCTCTGAAACAAATCATACTCTAAACCGAAATTGTCTACCACTGAAACAAGAGGCATTGATCTAATTCTGTGAATGCTCTACTACCATCGCCTCAACGTCTTTGAAAGAGCGAGAAAGAGAGAGAGAGAAAGAGAGAAGTGTTCATAAATGAATACGTGAAACTATCTAATGTACTGATATGTATGTGGCTTATAATTTGCAATTCTCAGGTTGTTAGTGTATAACTATTGTTTCACAGTCATTCGTAGCAAACTGAATGCAGTTGTAACTGCATCCACGTAAGCAATTTCTGACGGCGCGGAATACATTAACGAAAGGTGACTTTTAAACGAACATTCTTATTGGTTTCTTTTTTTTTTCTTTTCAGGTTATCTGCGTTTTGTTGGTCTTGCTTTTCTTTTATGATATCTTCTTCGTATTTGTCACGCCCTATCTGGTGCCGGTAAGTAAACTTATAATAGTTAGTACAACTTAAGAGCAGTTATGCAGCACATACCATTCGAATGAGTGAACTTGGGGCGAAATAAACTTAATTGAAATAATCAATGAATGTTCGATGTGCTGTCAGTCTTAAAAATTTGCCCATGAACTCTATTTTCGTGTTCCTTCTTCGTACAGAAATCAATGCCTCATAACGAGACCGGCAGCTTCGCTCAGTCATCAGGTGTAAGTATAGCTGAAGGCACGATTTAGTCTTTTTCTAATCCTTAAATACGGTAAATTTTGTGTCAGAGTCATGCTAACTACAATTATCTTCCGATAAAAACGTAATAATAGTGACAAACCGATGATAGGGGTGGGCCACTACGCAGTAGCGGCAAAATTTTCTCTCACATTTTGTTCGCAGAAAGGAGATAGCATCATGGTGGAAGTTGCTCGAGGAAGAGGCACCGATGAACACATACCAATGGTTCTGCGCGTGCCACATTTGAGCAACGAAGACATCAGCGCATGCTTCGGAGAGTACTCCGTTCTCGGATTTGGAGACATCCTTATACCAGGTTTGACAACTCTTACTTGCTAACTTCGTTTCGGTGCCGGTATCTCCTGAAACGTATAAATACGTAATCTCCGTAGGCTCACTGGATTCATTAATGAAACCTCAATGGTTCTCCCAACTACACTGGCTCATGACAGCAGTGGCGTCCTGTGTGCAGTTAAACTTTATATACATTGAAAATGATTTCGTCGAATAACACCGAGCATTATGTGCTCCCATTGCTCTCGCGCAAAGCCTGTTTTCTTCGCAGGCTTTCTGGTCGCCTACGTGCGCAGTTTTGACTTGATAGCGACCCAGGGATGCCTCTACTACGCCACCAGCGTTACAGGTGCGCATTTACATTTTGCTATAGACGGGTAGAATTTTTTTGCCATTTGGGCCTCGTAAATTGAAGAGCAACAGACAGGACGAGAGCTACTTACAAATGCGAGTGTTTATTGGAAATCATCACTGCAGTTAGACAGCAGGTGCAGGGAAAGGGACTCCCGGTGATCATTATCTAAACAACAACAACGGAAAGAGAGACAGGCATGAACAAATAGTCATGGATTTTTTTAACAAAGGAAATGTGATTCATGGCAAACCATATTTCAGCATGTTCTATACCCCCCTCACCTGTTTTAGTATTTTTATGTTCTTTACTTGTGGTTATTTATTATTTTACTTTGTCTAACTTCTTTGCCGTTGTTGAGCAGCCAACTGCATGAGTAAGTACGTTTCAGATTTCCGCTGCCTTTTTTTGTGCATTCATTAGCCGTGCATTATGTCATCAACTTATCACCCACCACGACACCCTTAAACTGATTGGCCCGTTTCCCTCCTGGTATCCCGCAACAATGTTGTTGTAAATAAAACAATAAATCAAATAAATCATATCACGCGGGTATTTTCACGCCTGTCTCATCTTTTTGCTGGTTGCCGACGGTCCTGTGCTCATGCAGCTTATTGTCTAGCTGCTGGCATGCTTTCCAATAAGTGTTCGTAGTTGCCAGGAGTGCTCGCCCCGTCTGCCAGTGAGACTCACTTTAGGCTAACATTTATGTTTTTTTTTTCTATAAGCGTTACGATCAAATCAGTAACTGGGGCGAGGCCTCATATAAGCAACGAAATATGAATGAATGAATGAATGAATGAATGAATGAATGAATGAATGAATGAATGAATGAATGAATGAATGAATGAATGAATGAATGAATGAATGAATGTTTATGTCATCTTGGACACTTTTCAAGAAAAGTACCGAAGCTAAAGGCGAGCAACGCCTGACAGGGGCCCCTGCACCCGTAAACATAGTAATACGCCATATTGCAATATGTAATGGCGGTTCATTGACAGTGAACGAAAAAAAACACACAAAATTGTAATAATTTCCGATACAACTAATCGAGAAAAAAAAAGACTTACACACCGTTGCGCTCGCAGAATCATTGTGCTACAATTTTCTTCAAAACATAGGCCATGACATATGAAAAAAGAAAAAAAAAGATAAATGCTGGTAGGAGGAAAAACAACTAATATAAATAACGGCAAGATGTAGCGCTGAACATACAATTTACAACACTATACAGAGATAAAGATACGAACGTAACCATATACATAATTACTATAGAAAAACCAACAAACGTATTTATACATATATACAAACATGTATGTGCACACACATACACATAATGAACAATCACTCTCTCAAACCCTGTGTTAGTAACACTTCCTTTTGTGAATATCGTGAGCGCAGCCTACGGCGTCGGCCTTGTGGTGACCTTCGTTGGCCTCTACATCATGAAGATGGCCCAGCCCGCCCTGCTGTACCTTGTTCCGGCAACGCTCATTCCCGTCATTCTCGTCGCCTGGTATCGCGGCGAGCTTCGAGAGATTTGGTACGGATACAAGGTGAGCCGCCTTCACTGCATGCACGCTGTAAAAACGGAGATAAGCGCTGCGCAGTTAACTGCTTCAGAAGTTATGTGCATTACCCACGTTGCAAGCAGGATTAAATGCTGCGCGACATACACGTGGTCTCCTCCAGGGGTGGGTGGGAGTGGGGATGGAGCGAAGGTTCATTGCAGCGTACCCCTTCCCTATTAAATCAATGCACGGTGCAGACTTCACCCCCACCCCTCCTTAAAATGTTTATGGAGCCCCCTCCCCCCTATCCCACTCCATGCGCACGCCTCTTCTGGGAGAGTGAGTATGCATTAATTTTCGGTAACCGAGCCTAACACTCAACACGAAGAAAATAAAAAGGAACGCATGGCCCATCGCTGTACCCTTCTCTTGTTCGTCCTCGTTAGCCGCGCTGTTGGAGACGAACGCTGTACCTCATCGCGAAATCAGATATGTGTGCATTGACCGGTTACATCGTCTTATGTGAGCCGATAACGCGAACGAGGAATAGAGAGAAAAGAATAGGCATTTATTGAGTCGCCATAGGATGGTGCTTCAAAGAGCCGACCTCTTTGCAAGGTGCCTCCATCGTAAGCGGCCTTTCGACAAGACAAATGGTCATGGAGGCGGAAATGTTGTAGGCCCGTGTGCTCAGATTTGGGTGCACGTTAAAGAACCCAGGTGGTCAAAATTTCCGGAGCCCTCAACTACGGCGTCTCTCATAATCATATCATGGTTTTGGGACGTTAAACCCCACAAATCAATCAAAGACAAATGGTCGTCTAGGATGCAGTTCGCGGAGCTTATTTCTAAAGCCTGGTTTCGGAAAAGATTGGTCGTAAGAACGAAAAGATGGATGGGATGTAAGAGCTGAAGATATAGCATTCATTGTAATTACGGCCACCATTTCATTAAATATCACAACCTCTGTACTTAGATCCCCGTGGGAGCTTCTTTCTAAGCGTCCACGCTAACAAGCACGTGCACACTCATGCAAATTTATGAGTGAGTTTATATGTTCAGTTTGTGGATTTCACCTGTGTGAGACGTCTCTTATAATCATATGGTGGTTTTGTGACGTTAAACCCCAGCTATTATAATTATTCACCTGTGTGATTCAAAGTGTTATTTCAGGGTCATTGGAACGGTGCTCAGTGACTATTGTGCAGGTGGAAGGAATTCCGTTTTAAAACATTCTACAATGTTGTCCTTGTTATGACCGCAGGATTGCTCACATTGACCAATCGGCTCTTTGGAGCACTTGAAAGACGCCACCATTATAAAAATTGTTTTACTATTATCCGAATTTATGACCACGTGCTTAGGAGCACAATATCATATTTACAGCAACGAGTACTTCAATTCAAGTGTGGCTGGAAAATTTTAGGACTGCATTCGATGCTTTAACGTTTGGGATGACCCAACCGGCACAATATGCACAATCTTGTCTCTGCCGCATATGAGACATTGACTTCTGTCGCAGCCTGACACGTCACTACCTTCCGAGGAGGAATTGGAGCCTCCCACAATGTCGGGCAAGAGGAGAAACTCCAGCGACGAAGAAGAGCGGCATGCCTCGTCGCGTCCCTCGGCATTGGCCATTGAGACGCCTGCAGAGACGTCGGTGGCTCCTTCGCGGTCCGCCATGTTCCCCGTGCACCACTTCCAGTCTCCAGTGCCGCATACGCGGGCATCGCCACAGTACCAACGGCCTCCGCGTTACTTTTGAACAATGTTGACTCGCTAAACTGTTCGGAGCTTCACTGCGTGTACCGGTATATTCGCTTGAGCGTATCCCTATTAATTCGATTGTACCTGGGCATTTGTAAAGCACCACGTTGTAACGAATAAAACAATGACGATCAATGGAAAAAGTAATAGAAAACGATAGGTACAGCCTTCGTCACGTTAGCAGTCTCTCTTGTGCGTATTGTAGCTGATATTTGAACTTGTGTGCACACGGCGAGAAACCATGTGCAAAAAAATACAATGTTTCTGCTAGTCTGTGCAATAAGCTGAAACTGACAAAAATAAATACCAGCTGCTTAATGACTGTTGCATTTAACGACTACAAAAAAATGGCAGCATATCCATGGAGTGAATGATGTAGAGTGGGGCAAAGAATTTGTCCGTCCATTCGTTCTTGCTTCCGTCCGTCCATGCGTCCGTCGTCAGTGTGACAGTCCATGCGTCCATCAGCCCGTCCGTGCGTGCGTCTGTTCGTGCGTTCATCCCTGCGTCCGTCCATGCAGCCGCCCCTGCGTCCGTTCATGCGTCCATCCATGCATCTGTCCATGTGCCCGTTCGTCCATCTATTCAACACTCCAAGTACCACCATCTCGCATCTTTTCATCATATATTCCCCATATAGAAGCACCGCCATCCAGCGGACATTCCAAGGACTAAACGAGAGGTGGCACACGCACACTTCCTTACGGCTTGCGCTTCGGGTCCACTTCCCCACCTTTAACCACCTCGAGTTCATGGTATATACTAGTTCACTGTATTCATGGCACTGCGGCCGAACGCTCGCTAAACCTTTCGAAAACAAAGGAGGTTATGCCCAGCGAGTATGACGTAGCAAACTTTTTCAGTCAGATAGGGCTCAATGTACATTCCAATGGCTGCTAATGGGAAATGCGAGGCGGAGAATTCGGCTTTTACTTTCTTACGGCTTGCGCTTCGTATCTACTTCCCATTTTTAACCACCTCGAGTTCATTCATGGTATATACAAGTTCATTGTATTCATGGCATTGCGGCTCAACGCTCGCTAAACCTTTCTAAAGCTGAGGAGGTTACACCCAGCGAGTATAACGTAGCAACCCTTTCTTGTCAGATAGTGCTCAATGTACATGCCAATGGCTGCTAATGGTAATCGCAGCCTGCGCGTTAACTAAAAGCCGAATGCTCCTGTCTCTCATTCCACATTAGCAGCCATTGACATGTACATTGAGCACTATTTTTTATTGTTCAACAACGCACAGAAGTCTCTCACCGGCACCACCTTGGAGGTCAAAATGTTATACTTGTTACATACTACGGGGGACGAACGGGTGCCGCTGTAAGGAGCTTCGCCCCTAAAAAAAAAAGTTTCCATAGGGTCCAATGTTATGCAGAGGAGGTGTTCTGTTGTCGGCTTCACTAGATTACTTCCTGTGAGCGCTTCGCGTGTTATGGATCCAGTGCGCGAGCTGTCTCACCGCAGGCAGCAAAACTGCGTCGTCGAATGCGACTGTCATCGGCCCACTCTGTTTATAACGTCTTCAGCACATAGTAAATGGTTAGTATGACTCGTACTTGACCACGTAAGGCTCCGTGTTTTCGGAGTTTATTTTACAGTGATGCTGTATACGTTCATAAATCTCGATGAAAAACGTAACTAGCGGTTGAGCTGTCGCACCTGGATAATTAGCGATAGAATTGAAAGTTGGCCTAGTCGGAATACTTGCACGATTGATGCAGCGCTAAAGACAAAGATCCCCTCCCTCCTCCTAATCAAATGCAGAGGATGAGCGTTGTCGTGCAAATGAAAGGTTCATTAAAAAAAACTGGAAAACAAAGCTGAGCATAGCAGTTATGCGCATAATTAAGAAAGTAAAACATGTCATCTTAACACCAACCATACTTCGGGCGAAAATTGAGAGCTCACTCTGATTTTCTCACGAAACATAGTTTGCCGCCTATAGGACTGGCTCGGACTCGCACTCATCGGTGTTCTCTTCAACCGGACTCGCTCGTACTCGCTCACAAAATATTTTCCTCGGTCGAACTCACTCGGACACAGGCATGCACAGAAAAATATTAGTCGCTTGAATTCACTCAGACTCGAGGCTCTATCTGAGCCTGAGTGAGTCGACTCATGAGTTTGTTAACAGGTTATTAGCTGTTTTGTTTAAGCTGTCGATAAGTTTAACACCGATATCTCGCATAACTGGTGGTATTCTGGGAGCTTTGGACCTCGTATTTTGAAATACGAGCTAACAGGGCTTTAAATACACAAAAGACATTTTTATAGCAAGTGAACTTACGGGAAGTGTTTTAGAAGGCCTCCGTTCGAAAGGAAAGGGGGGAGGGGAAGTCAAGACCCCCTCTCTCCTTCGTAACTCACCTGGAGAGAAAGAAGTGAGAGAGGAAAGCAGGGAGGTTAACCTAGCCTAACTTGGTTGGATACCCTGTACATGGGGTGAGGGAAATGGTGAATAAGAGGAGAACTAGAGAAAGAAAGAAAAGGGTGACAGTATAATGCTGCAAGTCGAGTGGATGGGACGAGACGTCAGCAAAACTAACGTGGGGCTCACTCGGACTCGGTCATAAAATACACCGCGTCCTTGGGGCTCCCACATGCTCATACTTGTCAATGTTTCCTGTGCAAAACTTGGAGACCTGTCCCATGTTTTGCCAAAAAAAAAAAAAAAACACGGCCCCGTGCATGTTACCGTCACGGTACCCCCTCAAACTTAGTATCATGGGCCCGTCTGTCTTTTTTTCTCAAAAAAGTGACACACCTTTGAACCTGACAGACCTTTGAGAATTATCGGGTGAGTTAACATAATTAGTCAGGTCTCAACTTCCCTAGTAATGCGAAGTTTTGGATAGTACCATTGAATGACAGTCCCCCCCCCCCCCTCTTTTTTTACCCTTTTCCTGTTTTTCGTCATGTGTGAGCTTATGCATATTTCGCTTGCTAGCGCTGATCGAAGGCCACTGCCGCTGTGCTTAAGCTGACAACTAAGTTGTGAACTACTCGCGTGTCTAGCATTTCTTTTTCTTTTAAGGTAAAGGCTCTAGATGCCTCATCAAACGCGACAATCGACCGTAGGCGTCGGGGACGGTGTAAACACTAGCGATGGGAAGAATCACTATCGCGCGATGATGTTACTGTATGACGTCAGCAGGACGCCACAGAAAACCAATATTTATGACGTCATCATGAGATCAGATAACGCGACACCGAATTATGACGTCATGACATGACAACTTCACTTGGTCAAGGGTAAACCGATCACGGAGGCAGTGCTAACTAAGTTAGATGTAGACAGTTTTCGGAAAGTTGCGGGGTAGGATCGATACGCTGCTGAAGGTTCGGTAGGTGGTCTAGTAGGTAATTCATATTCGTTTAGCGACTTGGGAATGCGGGAACAGACAAGAGATAAAAAAATACATCTAAATCAAGTGCTGTATCACGGAGGAAGAAACGAATTGCTTTCTTCCTATACTTGCTGAATACATCAACTGAGAAGAAAAAGAAGATGAATTTCACCTTTAACTCGAGTAGTGTTAGTAAAGCTTCTTTGTTTGCAAGTGACTGTGTACATTTCGCAAAATAACCAGCTACTGAGACGTGACATCACTACAAAACTATTTGGATACCGTTTCACAGTGGTGCCGCACGTGTCCATGAAATCGAACGTCGCTAAATGCAAAAGCATGTGCGTAACCAGGTGCAATGTTATCTCTCAGTCCTAGTTAGGGGCGAAGCTTTTATAGCGGCACCCATTACGTCCCTCGTAGTCGTAGTCATAGTGTGTAACAAGTGTTACATTTTGACCCGCAAGGTGGTGCCGGTGGGAGATTTCTCCTGTGCTTTGATGAACAATAAAACGTTCGCGGCGTGCGCGTTAACTAAAAGCCGAATGCTCCTGCCTCTCATTCCCCCTTAGCAGCCATTGGCATGTTCCAGTAGGAAACGTTAGTAGAAGTAGAAGTGTTAAAAGCCGACTTCTGCTGTCTCTCATTCCCAGTAGCAGCCGTTGTTTACCTCCAAGGTAGTGCCTGGTGAGATTTCTCCTGTGCGTGTATAAACAATAAAAATTTTTTGTTTAAAACGCCGTTGATTGATGAAATAAGCCAACGAAAGACGCCAGATGTTTTCTAAAAGCAAAACGAAAAGACGCCAGATGTTTCTAAAGCAAAACAAAAAGAAGACGCCAGCTGCTTAACGAAAGATTCTAGGGTTTTCTCGAGCGCACTCAAAAAATATTTCCTACATGTAGATCAATAGTAATGACCATGTACTAAGCCTTACACATAGTTTGATGTTTTGCCTATACTTGATTATTTCATTATTTATGAACAAAGTGCAACAATGCGTATCTTCTTGTATTTTTGTTTGTTTGTTGAAAAATCAACGTTTTTTGATGTTTTTGATTTTTTTCTTATATACAAATTGTATTCTGCTTGTATACCTCCCGTTAGACCCCTTACTAGCCTATGGCTATGGGTCTAATCAGTGTTGTGCATTTCTTGAAATGTGGTCATAACAACCTCAATAAAATGTAAAAATGTAAAAAAAGACTCCAGGTGTTTTCTAAAGCAATGGTTTTATAATCAAAAACATATCGATACAGGTTTGTAGTTGCCGATGGTCGTTGCCGTCGGTGTGTGCTCGTATGGATAGCTGGCTATTGTACACTGGGAGGGCGCGCGTAGTTTAAAGATCATTTCATGTCTTCCGTCAATTTAGTCTTGGTACAAAGGTGACAAAGTTTAGATAACTAGCAATCAGAAAAACCTTCTTCCCGTCATGATCCTTGCAGCCACGTTAAAAAGGGTTTTATGTCCACACCGCTCGTGCATGTGAATAGGACGCATATGAAAAGTTGGCAGTCGTACTGCATGTTCTTCCAAAACGCCCCCTATTTGTTCTTACACCATCGCAACGTATATGTAAAACCTTGGGGAATGCCCCGCCACAGTGGTCTAGTGGCTAAGGCACTCGGCTGCTGACC